GGGGGGGGTTGGAAGATTAACGCATAGACAATATCATATTGAAGTGTTTATTGTGGTTTACTTTGTATTTGATTTTTATCTTATCTCTTTGAGATCCTTGTCAGACTTCTTTGCGCTGTCAGGTTTCTGGCCACATTCTTGTTGAAGCTCTCAGCAACCTTCTTACTGATGCAAAACTTCTGGAAGCACGTCAAGAAGCTGCTAAACAAGCTTATCATGCTCTGTCTCATGGGATCACTGAAAATGTTTGGAGCCTTTTAGACTTGCACATTTTTCGGAATGCACTGGCACACCGAGGTTTGATGCTGTGAACCCCTTTCTTCAGCTCATCCCTATCCATGATTGGTATTTGTCATGTTGAAAAGGTCTTGGCAAAGTTCCTGCTTCATTGTCATGATATCTGGGGCAGGGAACAAAAAATTCATGTGAAGAACATAAATTCTTTTCCCTCCTTCCCCTGTATATCTGGTGCTCTTCTGTTAATTTTCATTTAATGTGATGAGAAACGCCTCATCAGATCATTGCATGCTAGTACCATTCGTGCAATACCTTATTAGATATCCGGTTTCCCTCTGTTTTGTCCTCAGCTATAAGCTTCTTTGCCTGAACTTTCTTAGAAGGAAAATGCAGGAGCTTATAGTAATGCATTTCTCTTGGATAGTTGGATCCCACCTCCACCACTAGGTTTCACTAATGCTTTGGCTTATTTTTTTTTCGATTCCTGCTCTAGTATATCCTTGTAACTTGCTGATTGACTAAATTTTCACACTATTTCCGCTATCCTGGCATCCACAATATGGTGTTGATACTTCACTTACTCCCTTCAGGTATTGTAAACGGTAATATCAATTAGGGAGATTCATTATCAGTTAGAACCTGTATGGATCAATTAGGATGATTCTTAGCTTGTAATTATACATTCTTTATATTCCTTCCTACTTTAGAACATAGGTACATCACTATTTAAAGCCCAATAACTTGAGGGAATAATCAAGCTGAATCATTCCCGAAACACCTCTTTTTATTCTTCTCTCTTTTTTTATCGAGTCCCTTCTCTTAATTTTATTTTTATTCCCGAAAAAAGAAAAATCAACGAAATATCGTTCCGGCAAAACTAAGTTATGTCTCATCATTCTTTCACTGGCAGCATTATCTAGCCTCATCTCGCACATAAAGAAGATTTCCTACCATGTCCCCTATTTTTAGAAATCCACCATCTGCGGCAGCGGAGTAAACTATAAAGCTTCACCATGTTCAATCGTTGTTGATACCACATGCAGTTGTGTGGCATCTTCTCTGGTGAACAATCTTGTCGGGAATCACTCTATTCAGATTGCTTGGATCTCCTGCATCCTTCTAATCCATCAACCACCCTCCCCAAGTGATGAATCATCGAAACTCAAGTTTGTCATTTATTTCTTCAAGCGGATTTCAGTTCCTTTCTGTTCTCTTGGTCATGGAACTTCCATTTTAATCCCTCTATTGTGATTCATAAAGTGAAGTTTCTCTTCCTTTACTTCTTTGTTTCAGGGTGAACCTCGACGGTTTTGCTATTTTTTCTTCTCTAACATAACCTACACTACTCTGAAGGTCTTCCTTCTTCCTGTACTCCGTTCGAATTTGAGAAGATGTAATTTCTTTGAACCGGGCACTAGGAGTAACGTAGATATCAACTTGGCTTCCACATTCATCACGAGGGCGTAGATCTAGAAAGGGATTATTTTAATTCTGGTTTTCCCAAGTTTACTTCCGCATTCATCATGAGGGCATAGATCAAGAAAATTCTTTTAAGTCTTCAGCTCTATTACCGTGGTTTAACTTATGTTTCTCAGACTCTCCGAAAATGTTGGCGGGTGTGTGTCAGATCCTTCAAAAGTAGTGCATTTTTTAAGGATCCGACATGGGTGCGACAACATTTCGACAGTCCGTGCAACATAGGGTTTAAAAACCTTGAATTCTTTTTTTCTTTGAGAAACGATCATTTCGAACCTTCTTTATTCCTTGCAGTTGAGTAATCACAACGAGTGGAAGTTGCATGCAAGTGGGTGCAAAAAATTCAAGCATAAGTGATGCGCTCAAATTATTCCTATATAAATGGTGTAAGGTGGTCGATGCCAAATATAATAAACCAACTAGGTTGGGGTCGAATCCCACACGGAACAGTTGTGAAAAGATTACTTGAATAGTGTGTCACTTGACTAACTTCTACTCCGTTTGTTTGGAAAGAGTTTGGTAATTGTGAATTGTTAAGAGAAGCTATTTTGTTAAGAGAATTGATTAATTGGATTAAGAAACCAAGATTGGGTCCCTTTCTATGGAATGTAATGCTATCGGTGTTAATATGATATATTTCTAATGGGAGGTCCTTCGATATGTAAATGGTTCCTAAATGACTACCTAATATTTCTCAATACTTAGGTAGTATTTCCTCTTTATGATTTTCCCAAATATAAAAGAGACGCAATTAAGAGCAACCAATTTATGCCAAGTAGAACCCACTTATTCCTAAGCGATTCTATTAAACAAGGTTTAAAGCCTTGAGTTTTTGTTATTCAATTCTACCAAACCCTAACCCAATTTTCCAAGTGAAAGATAAAGTAACTTGGCACTGCTACGGGAGCTCTTAGTTGCTTGAGAACAAGCCAGAGTTTAAGTTGGGGGCGTTGATGTGCCGTAGAAATGCGGCACTTTCGATACCAATTTCATAGACTTTAACTTACCTTTTAAAGCATTTTGACTCATTTCTTATGTAATTTTGTTGTTTCTTAGGAAACCGGACTTGAAGAGCCAAGAACATGAAAAAGATGTAAAAAACCATGAAAAAATCATATTTGCAACAGATATGCGATCGCAGAAGTGATGTGCGAGCCGCATTTCTATCGCAGAAGCAACCAGAGCAGCACAATTTTAAGAGTCAAATATGCGATCGCATAACCATTGCGCGAACCGCAGAATTGCCGCACGAATGCGAGAGAAATTCCCAGTAATCCAAAGTGACGATTATGCGATCCATTATGCGGACCGCAGAATCAGTTTGCGGACTGCATAAATGGTATGCGATGGAAATTTGGAAGTGCTAAAGATCAGATCTGCGGCGTTGCAATGATTTTGCGGACCGCGGATCACTTCCCCGGTCCATTTTGCGATCACAAGCTAACCTGAAGGGCTATTTATGTTACATTTTGTCCGCGAATTTTGGGCCATTATAAATAGAATAACTAGGGTTTTTATGGGACATCTTGTCTCAAAAAGGTCCTACATTGAGAACATTGAATACACCACTTATTTTGGAGCTTTTTGGATAGATTCTGAAACTTTGTCTTTGTTCTAAGTTTTTATGACTTTCTTTAATGCTTTGTTCTTGTATTTTAGTATGACTAGCTAGCGTTAAATACTAAGGTTGTGGACCCTAAGTGGGTGTAATGTTAACGAGTGTTTACTATATATATATTGTTAGATATGTACATAATGTAGTCTTGTCCCACATTGGAATAGGAGTAGTATGTCCTTATATAGTATAGCTATAAATAAGGACCTCTTGTATTGTATTGAACACACAATATCAATATATCATATTTTCTCCCGTGCCTTCTCACATGGTATCAGAGCTATCGTGAGAGATTTATCGCTATGCATAAATTCCAGCGATTCCGGGAAGTGAAATCAGTCATTATTACCCTTTTTTTCCGGCAACTTTTCAAAGTTGTTTTGCGTCTGCTTTGTCTTGGTTAGTGTTGTGCAAAATCCAACACTACCACAAGAGTAGTCACTGTCCGGCGACCAAACCTCAGTGAAAATCTTTGGCGGTAGTGTAGCGGTCGGAAGAAAATTTTCCGGCGAAGTTCTGACGTCGCGTGGGCCACCGTGTGGCCATTTTTCGGCGACAATTCTTCAGGTCAGATTGTTCCCCTTACAATTCCGAGCCTACCCATCAAGGTTACACCAAATTCCGACCACTTTTATATTTTTCCGGCGTGAATAGTGATTTCAGAAGTGGACTTCCGGTCATTTTTTGAAAAAGTTTCTTCAGAACAGTTGGGTCGTATGGTAATTCCGATCCTACCCCTACTGTTTTTATTTCATTCCGACCACTTTGAATTTTTTCCGGATGCTACAGTAATATTCCCGAGAGCTACAGTATTTCTGGAGTGAACATTGTTTTCCGGCGCAAAACAGTATTCTGTTTTCCTGCTATAAACAATGTTTTCTTAGCGATTTCTTCAGTTTTCCCAAAGGAGTTACTAATTTTAACTATTTCAAGTTAACCCTACTACTATTAATTGTAGCGACATGGGAACCGATACTTCGAATAGTCGGATGGTTTCTTTAGTGGATTATTTTGAGTTTCTTCAGTACAAAGCAGGTAAGCAGACATCTTCTGAGATAGCTTCCGTTATTCAAACAGGTAATAGCGTGACTTGTGTCTCTTAATCTTTACCCTCTGAGTCTTGGGTCATTGATTCAGGTGCATCGGATCATATTTCTGGTAACAAATCTCTTTTCACTACTATTTCGTATTCTCAATCTCTTCCAAGAGTCACAATGGCCAATGGGTCTCAAACCATGACAACTGCAATAGGTCAAACAAGCCCAATTCCTTCCTTACCTTTAGATTCAGTTCTTTATGTCCCTAATAGTCCTTTTAATCTCATAGCTGTTAGTCGCCTAGACAAATCACTTAAATGTGGCGTTTTATTTCTTGATGACCATGTTTTTATACAGGAACGCAGTACAGGGCGGATCATTGGTACCGGGCGTGAATCAAATGGACTTTATTACCTTATCCTTGCTAAATCACATGGACTCACATCTTGTCTTCCTTCAACAACTTGTCTTGCTACTGATTCACCAGATTTATTACATATACGGTTGGGACATCCTAGTTTGTCAAAACTTCAGAAATTGGTACCTGGTTTATCTCACTTGTTAGCTCTAGAGTGTGAGTCTTGTCATCTCGGTAAGCATACTCGCTCTCATTTTCCTCGACGTATTGATAATCGAGCAGTCACCTTTTACTTTAGTCCATTCAGATGTTTGGGGTCCTAGTCGGGTCAGTTCTACCTTAGGATTCCGCTACTTTGTTAGTTTCATTGATGACTATTCTAGGTGCACCTCGATATTTTTTGATAAAAAATCGATTTGAGTTGTTTTCTATTATCCAGACCATTCACGCTGAAATTCAAAATTAATTTGGGGTTTTTATTCGCACATTTCGTAGTGATAATGCCCGAGAGTATTTGTCTTTCCCATTTCAGCAGTTTATGAAATCTCATGGGATTATTCATCAAACTTCTTGT